GGAGGGGGCGGCTCTGCCTCTCAGCAGGCCGCTGCTCCTCTTCTGCCAAACAGCAATTCTTTATTCCCGAACTCACACCGGCACCCTACAAGCACGTTCTGCGCAAAATCCACACTTCCACTGGGCTCTGCATCTCAAAATACTCTCTGAATCCCGCGAGAACTCAACGGGAACTCAAGGAGCGGGCGGGCGCTTGAGGCAGCAGGATACGCCCTATTCCCAGCAGGGTCCACCTTAAACCTGGAACCGCCCTAAACCCAAGGAGCGGGATACTCCCTATTCCCAGCAGGATACACCCTAAACCTGGACCCACCCTAATCCAGCAGGATCCTCCCTAAACCCGGATCCACCCTGGTCCTTGAGCAGGGTCACCTTACTCAAACATACATGCAATGTCACTGCAAATGACCTGGGTCCAAAGGCAAGCCCATTTCCACAATGGAGAGTCCTCCCTCTAAGCAATATGGGGTAGGCTGACAAAGAAATTCCCATGCGTCATTCCTACTTGGCAATGGCTCTCAGCAACCCCCGGGTTATTTTGCTGCAGCCGGACTGCGGCAACTCATCATATTTCTCTTTAAAACCCTTAACACCCCAATAGAAAATAGGATTAGGAGAAGAAATCCCTGTCCCCTGAGAGGACACTGGCAGCCCTCCTGAGGAGGCTGAGTCTTGAAGTCACACCATCCACCTGTCCTGCTGCTAAAATGGGGTTATTTGGTGCTACCCTAAGGGTGGCCCAATTTCCATCTCATTTCTGGGTCTCAGCTTGCCTGTGTGAGTGTGCTCTACTAATAAGTGTTTTTTGTTGGCAAACCACATTGTATTCACTATAGAAAAACTGAAGAGAGAAAAGTTGGAGAATTAAAATTAAGTTGTAGTCTACGGCCATGTCAGTTAAATTGTGACCTTTTCTTTTCATATCAATTGAATGAAAACAGGATTTGTTTGCAGCTAGATTTATGCTTCTTCGCTGCCTCTCCCGCGACTGTTCTCAGGGAAGCAGGCATTCTCCCCACTCCTCCCCGCTGAGGGGGCGGCTTGCTCCAGAGCAAAGGCAACAGGCCAGGTTGCTCCAAGACCCTTCCTTTGCTGCCTTTGTGTCCACATTAATGCTCATCTTGGGAAGTAAAGGAGGCTTCTGCAGACTAGTGAGTGACTTCCCAGCCTTGGGGACTCTGTAGTGCCCCATCAGGCCTTACCTGGCAGGACCAGGCAGGTATGGGGAGACCTGCTAGGGGTGTGCTTTCAAAGTGGTAACATGTGCCTAACCTCCCTGGAGCCCTGGCAGAAGTGCAGATTGTGACACAAATTGTGCACATACTGCTGGTCTGGACTAATGGACCCAGGGGAGGCACATGTCACCTGTCCATGGATCCCATGTAGCAGGGCCCTAGAAAGAAGGCCTAGACTGGTCCTTGACAATCATAAAGTTCTCCCAGGTTTTTCTTGGTCCTCACAGAAGAACCAGGGCAGCAGATCCAACAGGCCTGGGGCGATGGGCATTCTGGGACAGTCTCTGTATACATGGTCAGAGACTTGGCACCTGGTGACACCTGGAGTGTGGGAGGAGGAGGGCCCAAGCCCGACCAAAGCTGCTTTTCTTAATTACCTTGCAGGACTGGTGCTTAGAGGTAAAACTGGGTTGATTTATAGAAAATAATGTGCTCTTTCTTACAAAATTTGGACTTTGAGCAGCGATGACCCAGAGTGCTTGATTATGAAGTCCTTGCCCAAGTTGGGTCATCATTTTGAAAAAAGGAATCTTTCTACACCCTAGTTACACCTTATTTTTGCTTCAGTGACCACTTCTCTGGTTATGAGGGAGGCTGAGCAGTTCTTGTGCTTATTGGTCTTGGTATTTCTTCGTATTTGTAAATAGCGTGGTTGGGGCTCTCATCCATTTCTCTGCTGGCTACACCAGCATATTTTATTTGGACAGGTGAACTTAGCTCTTATTTCAAGTTCTCACTTGATACCCCAGCACACTGCTCTGTTAAAAAACAGAATCTAGAGAGAAATTTAACTTTGTGTGAAGCAAGTTCTTAAAAATTCAAGGGGTGGAGATAAATGGTGGTACTGGTGCGATGGCGCCATCTGCTGGACCTTGAAGACAGTGCGACAACAAAATCCATTTTGGGGCCTGGGAGGGGGGCCGGCTAACCAGGCCAGCCTCAGCCCTCTCTCTGACCCAGCCTCTCACTCTTCTCCTGGCCTCCGTCCCTTCACTCCCTAATCCCATCCTGTATGTTGCCACCAGAGTGATGGTTCTGAGTGGCTCTGTATCTGCTCAAAGCCATTCCGTGGCTCATCATTGTGATGAAGTGTAACCCCTTCTCTTGGTCACATCTGTCTAGCTCAGGAGCCGGCACATTCTTACTGTCAGGGGTCAGATGATAAGTGGCCTTGTGGGCTCACAGCTGCTGTGACCATCCTGCTCCACCACAGACAGCACCTGTGCGCTTGGCTGTTAGGCTCTGACGGCATGCAGAGCCGCCCTGGGGCTCAGGCTGCAGCCTCCAGGAGCAGGACTGCCTCCCACTCCTCCCCGGGGCGAGGTGCAGGGTGCTGCTGCGCCTCTGGGCCTGGCCTCCGCCTTCCTGATCCCTTTCTCCCTGGACCTCGCCCCCAGTCCAGAGTGTCTTCCACTAAGCCTTCCCTGTCCCTCCTCTCCCCAGCTCCAGATTTCCTGCCCTGTGCTTCTCAACCTCAGCTGTGGAAGACAAACTGCCAACTGCCATCAATGACCGTGTGTTTTGAGAACTGTCTGTTTAATTCTCTTCTCTGGGAAGAGGGGACCCGCTTCAGTGTTTTCCTTCCATGTCTTTTTCCCAGCGCATAGTAGGTATTCAGCAGAAGCAGGTGGAATTACTCAATGAAGACATGAATGGAAGCTGGGTGCAGTGGCGCACGCGTGTAATCAGGAGGCCAAGGAAGGAGGATTGCCAGTTCAAAGCCAGCCTCAGCAAAAGTGAGGGTCTAGGCAACTCAGCGAGACCCTGTCTCTAAATAAAATACAAAATAGGGTTGGGAATGTGACTCAGGGGTCGAGTGCCCCTGAGTTCAATACCCAGTACCAAAAAAACAAAAAAAAAAAGAGAGAGAGAGATGAATGGATATGTGTATCACATAACTTGGTTCTTTCTAGAGGATTCTGTAAAGAGAAAAACCCCATAATTTTTGTATTCCGGCTAGCACCCTACTTTTTAGGGATGTAGATTTGATGTTCTGATTCTGCAGGCGTTGACCCTTCGGGGCTCTGTTCTGACACCACTGAGGATGTGCGTCTCTAGCTCCTCGGTTTCCTCCCCAGGAGCCATCAGCCATGGGCCATCTCCCTGGGCTGTGTCTGGTTTCCTAGGGGTGGAAGTGAGTGCCCACAAACTGGAACTTGCCACTCACAGTCCTGGGGGTCACAAGTGTGGACTGAAGGTGTGGGTGGGCAGTGCTCCTCTGAGGGCTGCAGGGGAGGAGGATTCTTCCCGCTCTTCCAGCTTCTAGAATCCCCAGGTGTTTTGGGACCACATCTCCCCAATATGCCTCCACCTTCGCTCGTCCACATCTCCTGTTCTGTGTCTTCTGTCCCCTGTAAGGACACTGCCTTTAGATTTTAGGGTCCAACCAGATAATCTAGTACGATCTCTTCTCATTTGACTTAATCAGATCTGCAAAACTCCTTTTCTGATAGAGTCACATTAATGGATTCTAGGAAGTGGGGTGCAGGCCAGGCCTGTCTTCTTGGGGGGCTGTCAGTCAACCCACTACAGACTGGATTTCAAATGGTTCTTCTCCTGCTTCTCTTCCTCCTCCGGAGTGCTGCTCACCCTCGAGAGCTCTGACTGTGCGCCAGCTGCCACAGTAGGTGCTCTTCACAAGGCCGGGCATCCTTCATTCCCTGGGCTGACACGAAGCACCACGTGTCTTCCTGTTGCTGAGTCAGCTGAGCTTCCCCCACTGGGTCTCTAGTTGGAGTTCTGCACCCCGGGAACACCTCTCCCACTCCCCGCTGCTGTCAGCGGCCCCCAGCGACTCCTCCCCAGGACTGGAGATCCGTCTGTTGCCCTGGTTGCTTTTAGATGCTGCTTGGCTTTGCAGATCTGATGCAGCTTGGAGAGTGCACTGTGGACGGCACCCGTGGGATTGGCATCTTTCTGCAGCAAAGTGCCCAGGGTGGACTCCCAAGTCGGTGGGCTCATGCTGGAGGAATGGCCAGCATGAGCCACGTGAACATGGTAAAGCCACAAACTCACAAGCTCTTGTGTAGACCATGGTTACCCTCCGTTCATTCCACAGGCTGGTGTCATCTCAGTCACCAGGGGACAGAGCAAAGATCCCCACTGCTGCAGTTCTGGAAGAGGAAGACGAGCACAACAGCAGGTGAGTTCCAAAGACGTGAGGACGTGTGGGTGCTACGGAGCGTCTGACAACAACAGGGTGTGGGTGTCGGGGGTGTGGGCTGGGAGAGGAGAGGGCAGGAGTGGGCGATTGGCGTTGACCCAGTGGAGACTTGAGGTAGGCGAAGGGTGGCTATGCAGGTGCTTTGGGGGACACAGTGCAGAGGCTTTAACACAGAGTGTGCCCAGCATGTTGTAGGGTAGCAATGATGCCAGGGGTCTGCAGCGAAATGAGCAGAGGGATGTTGGAGTTGGGGGTCAAGGAGTCGGGGAGGGGGCAGATCAAGCGGGGTCTTCAGGCCAGTGCAAAGACTGTCCTTGACTCTTTGAGAGGGAGGGTGACATGGTGGTCTAGTGAGACTTGGGCCTTAAAAATACCACTCTTGCTGTGGGATGGAGAGTAGACCAAAGGGCAGGAGAGGGCAGAGGGAGGCCCTTGCAGTCATCCAGGAATGTGGTGGTACCTCGGGGACTCAGGGCTGGCCGGTGGCAGGGAGGGAAGGACGTCCGTTTGTTACGCCACAGTTCTGTGGTTCAGAAGGCCAGGACCGCCCAGCTCAGGATCTCTGCCCAGAGTCTCAAGAGGTCGAAACAAGGTGTTGGCAGGGCCCTTTCCTTGAGGCTTCAGGGGAAGAAAGCACTTCCAGGCTGACTCAGGAGGTTGGCAAATGCACCTGTGGCTGTGGGGCTGAGACCCCTGCTTCCATGCTGGCTGCAGAAGCCCCTCAGGTCCTAGAGGGCACCGGCTCCCCTCGCCCCATTTCTCTCTCAGAGACAGCGGCAGTGTGCTGATCTCTCCTCTGTTTAGATCTTCTGGCTTCTGCACACGGCTTCCCCCTCCCAGCGGGAGGAAGTCGCCTGCTTTTAAGGATTCACATCAGTAGGTGGGACCCACCTGGATAATGCAGGAAGCTCTGCTATGTTAAAGCCCCGACCTTAACTCTATCTGAATGTCCCTGTTTTCATGTGATATTATCACATAGACATAGGCCCAGGGACACCTTTGAGGGGATCGCAGAAGTGATTGGATTTGGGGTATGTATGTCCAGTTTTGATCCCTTCCAGAGGACCCATCTCTCACATAGATCGTCCCTGTCTTCCCCAGGAGGTAGCTCTCACCATTGGGCATCTTGAACTAGTCTCCAAAGAGCCTGCTCCTCCCTGTTTCCAGAATACTTGCATCTCGCTCCCTGTCTGTGACATAGGCGAAGACTCTCTTCTTTCTTTCTTTCTTCACACACTTGTCAAAACTACATTATTTAATTTTGAGATGCATTTTATTATTGTTCTCATTTAAAAGAAATGAACTAACCTGTTCCACACGTTAATGGGGCAAAAACATCAGATCTCTTTCATTCTTTCCATGAATGGCAGCAGAATAATGTGAGCCCCATTTTAGAGGAAGCCGTGGGTAGGGAAGCTGAACGACCAAGGTCAGACATGTTGAGGTGGAGCCCACATCTCTGCCCTGAAAGCCTGGGTTCTCAACCACTAAAAAACAACCCCGAGAAGCTTCTCCTGCCTCACCACCTTCTGCATGTGATACCGAGTGACTGAGGGTAGAGCTGGGGAAGAGATGAGCTCTCCCTCACTCTACAGGAAGGAAGCTTATGCAAGCGCATGGCTAGAAGATGAGGCCAAGGGTAGAAAGTGAATCATATCACATTTAAACAACGAGCATTATCCTCCAAAAGGTATGCTGAGCTCAGCTCACGTGGGTCTAGCAACTATCAGAAGCGCAGCAGGGAGATTTGGACGGTTCTGAAAGGCAACAATAGGAAAGTCTTTGTTAAAAGCACTGAATGGGAGGGAATAAAATGAGATCCTATTTATGGGGACGAATGGCTTCTCCTTGTCTCGCCACCATCTCTGTTCATTGTCATTGTGCAGCGCTGCTGCTCAGCTGCCCTGGAGTTAAATGCTTGAGACATTTCCAAAAAGACTTCCGTGTTGCTCTGGATTTTGATGAGCACCACAGTGATCAGTCGTTATCATCTTCGGTGCGTGGTGCTCCTTCCCCTGATGATCTGTGGGTATTAAGGCAGCAGAGTGCACTGTGAGGCCATGGGACTGGGACCAGCAGCCCGCAGCCTCTTCGGTGCCTTGAGTAGGCGGTTCCTGTTCAGGAGGAGCCTGCTGTGGGCAGACGCTGTGCGTCAACCAGTCCTCTGTGTGCGCTGTTAGCATTCCTGAGTCATTTGTTACCAGGGACCTAAGAGGCTCCTGCTATAGGTCTGTGTGGATATAAGAACGGAGCTTATAAAACCCCAAAGGAAAGAGATATGTCCATATGTGCTCAGGGGACTGAAGGACATGGTCAGGGTGGTTTGCCATTAGGGGAACACAGGCTTGGGCTCTTGGTGGCCGCTGGAGCATAAAGCCTGGCTGGCGTTCCTTGGCTTGCTACCAAGGTCGACAGCCCTGGATGGGAACTTCCTTGGGCTTGTTTTTGGAGAGTAGGATTTCTAGCCTCCCCTCTGAGCCTGTCCTTCCTCCTGCCATAGCAGTGTGCAAGCCAAGTTCACCCCTTCAGGATTAGTGGACATGAACCATGGTCCCAGATTCTTGTTTCCATAAGGGAAAGGTCTATGGTCAGCGCGAGAGGCCGCGAGTCCTCCAGCTGTTTAAGTGAGGCGAAGGAGAGGTCTGGCCCGTGCCTGCTGCCTGGGCACCGCTGTGGGCTCTGTGCATCTCTCTTGCAGGAACCGGCCAGGCCCAGCTCCTCTCTGCTCTGATACATGCAACCCTGGACCTTGGACGGTGTGTTTGTGAAATGGGGCAGTGAGCAGGACGTGGGGCTGGGCTGGATGGGTGGCTCACCCAGGGCTTGGCTGCACAAGTCATTCACAGGGCTCCAAGTGTGTGGCGACTACTGTTTTGTTTTTGACCTGTGATTCGGAGCCCAGGCTTTCTGATTCAGAAATTCAGAATCACCAGCTGTTCTGCAGTGGAGATGTTGCCATGAACCAGGGACAAAGGAACAACGCCCTTCTGCATCTGGCCACTCTTTTATGACGGGGAGCTTCGAGGTGGCTCTGAAGCAGGGCAGGGGGAGTCTGGAGAGGGGACTTGGTGCTGTCCTTGATCCGGGGCTCAGGAGAGGACCCGGATGCCAGAGGCTGAGCCCAGAGCGGCCCTGAAGTGCCCGGGGCTCCTGGCCGCCCTCTGGCCACTGCTCTTCTTCCTGTCCTGTGTTCCACACGATGGGTGAGTGTGTGGTGCTTCCTATCCAAGCATGAAAAGACCCAGGGTCCTTTTTCAGTTCTGGCCAGACTGGGCACAATGGCTCAGGCTGAGGGCAGGGGCTAAAAGTAATAAAACCATGCTTTCTCCGGAGGTGTGCTGAGTTCCTGGAACTCCAGCCTGGCCGGATTCTTCTGCCGGCTTCCATGCAGACCCACTGGGACGTCTGTGGGGTCCAAGTCTTGAGGGTAACACAGAGACGCAAATGTGGAATTCACAGTCAACAACAAAAGCAAAGACTGAGTCTTTTTATGACCAACTTAGAGAGTCATTAAAAGGATGAAATTTTATTGTATGATTTTGTGCATCTAGATAGTCTGGGGACAGAGTAATAAAGTGAAAATAGATGAAATAAATAAATCATAATCCACGTATTCCACAAAATGCCATTTTTGCCTTCTCTTCAGCCAAACTACTAATTATAGTGCTGGAATCAAGATTTTCACATGACTTGTGTTTTAATCACAGTAATGATTGATATACAATGCTATTCAAAATCTGATCCTGTGGGTATATACAGAGGAAGGGGATACCTGGGTCAAATGGTGGTTCCATTCCCAGTTTTCTGAAGAACGTCCATACTGCTTTCCATAGTGGTTGCACCAATTTGCAGCCCCACCAGCAATGTACGAGTGTGCCTTTCCCCCACATCCTTGCCAACACTTATTGATATTTTTATTCTTGATAATTGCTATTCTGACGGGAGTGAGATGGAATCTCAGTGTACTTTTAATTTGCATTTCTCTAATTGTTAAGAGATGTTGAATATTTTTTCATACTTTTTTGACCATTTGCATTTTTTCTTCTGTGAAGTGTTTGTTCAGTTCCTTTGCCCATTTATTAATTGGGTTATTTATTTTTTATTTTTCTGTTTTTTTTTTTTGAGTTCTTTGTATATCCTAGAAATCAATGCCTTATCTGAGGTGCAAGTGGTAAAGATTTTCTCCCATTCTGTAGGCTGTCTTCATATTCTTGATTGTTTCTTTTGCAGTGAAAAAGTTTTCAGTTTGATACCATCTTCTTTATTGATTCTTGATTTTACTTCTTGTGCTTTAGGAGTCTTATTGAGGAAGTTGGTTCCCAAGCCGACATGATGGATAGTTGGGCCTACATTTTCTGCTAGTAGGTGCAGGGTCTCAGGTGTAATGCCTCGGTCCTTGATCCACTTAGAGTTGAGTTTTGTGCAGGATGAGAGACAGGGTTAAATTTCCTTCTGCTGCAGATGGATTTCTAGTTTTCCAAGCACCATTTGTTAAAGAGGCTATCTTTTCTTCAATGTATGCTTTTGGCATTTTTGTCTAATATAACTGACTTAAAAACAGTATACTATAGTGATGCAGCCATATCAATGTTTAGCAGCTCAACTCACAATTGCCAAGCTATGCAAACAACCTCGATGTCCCTCAATAGATAATGGATAAAGAAAATGTGATAAATATACAGAGTGGAATATTACTCAGCCATAATGAAGAATGAAATAACAGCATTTGCCAGTAAATGGATGGAACTGGAGTCTATCACGCTAAGTAAAATAAGCCAATCTCAAAAAACTAAAACCCAAATGTTCTCTCTGATTTGTGGATGATAATCCAAAACAGGGGAGGCTGAAGAGGGGAATAATAGAAATCCACTGGCTTAAAAGAAGGGAAATGAAGGGAAAGGAGGGGGGAGGGGAAAAGGAAAGGCAGTGGAATTAATCAGACATAATTTTCCTGGCCTTGTATTTGAAGACATGACCAG